TGCTGTTGATATTTAAATTAAGACTTTTCTACTTTTATGGATTCTTCGTTCCCCCTGGAAGCATAAGAGAAGTTTTCCTCACGTATTCAAGGTAACATCAGGCGAGTAATTCACACCCCAATGATCATTACAGTGTGTGAGATATACTGCACTGGATTTCCTGTGTCTCACTCACCTGTCTGTGCAGTGTGAAAGTGCGATCTGGTGGTACAGGTCCAGGAAGGTTAAGGCAGTGACGGCTTTGGACTTGAAGTTGAGTTTCTCTGCGACGATCTTCTCCATTCGGCAGAGGTCGGAGGCGGTGAAGCGGCACTGTCCGATGCGGATGAGCTCCACCGGGGGGGCGAGGTTGCACTCCTCCTCCGTCACTTTGGCCGCCATGTGGAGGCAGCTGACGCTCACGCAGGAGAGGTGCTTTGGCTGGATCTGAGGGGGGGGGAAACGTGAGTAAGAAACGTGAACATTTGACATCACTAAGCTCATTTCATAGATGAAAGTATTTTATTCATTTTTCATTAAAGGTCCCCTATTATACTCTTGTTCAACAATATATTATAGGTCTCAGATATATACAAAACATGTCTCTGAGATATTTGGTTAAAAATAACTCAATGGTGCTCTGGAGGAGATTCAGGTGATAAGGGGGGGGGGTTACCTTGGTTTCTGATTGGCTAATGGTTACTCAAGCCAAAACATCGTTATGACAGAGTGGTCAAAATCTGATCAGCTCATTTTCAGACAGGTTTTTATAGAAATGGATCAGGACAAAAAGAGAGAATCTTTGTTCCTGAAACTTTCAGAATCTCTTTCCACATGTTGATGTAGAAGAGACATGAAAAGGTGGATTTTGCATAACCTTTAACAAGTGTAATAAATGATTCTGTATTAAACAAATATGTTTTAAGTATATGGGATATCTCAATTGTGCAGCCCTTTTTTATGAATTTATACTATGACATATGCTGGAGAGGTTTCAGGCTTTTACAGACGCTAAAGCTGTAGTGGCATGTCTGGTCCAATCAGGTGTGAGCATCTCGTACCCTGATCATGGCCAGGAATCTGTCCAACAAGTTAACAGCCAGGACGAACGTCTGGGTGCTGTAACCGAAGAAGCTGGTCAGACTCCACACATCCTCCACTTTGGCATCTCTGCACTTGGCTGAAATCCGACCGTCATCCTGGAAAACAAAGACCTTCTGTTCAATAACTGGATTAATCGGCCACGCACTGCTGACTACTTGCATTTTGGCAAAACAAAATAGGCCTGCTAGTCACGCTACAGAGCAGCTTAGACCCGTGGCTGGCATGTATTGTTGTTTTTACTTTCAATAGAGATAACCACACATCAACAAGGTCACTATAATCAAAATAACTTCCAAATGGGAGTCATTTTTCAGAATACTCCTCATTTACTGACTCTACTGTAGAATAATGAGTTTTTCGATGTGCTCACCTCTGTAGTGGATTCAATGAGCCTCAGCCCCGTCTCTTTGGGGAGATAATGAGCCTCCTGCTCATAGTTCACCCTCAGCTCCTTCATCAGCTTGAAGGCATCCATGTCTTGGCTGGCACTGCAGGAAGTGATTTCTTAGTTTCTGCAAAACAGAAAGCAACCAGGTTCAACATAAACAAGTATTCAGTAAAAAAAATCCCCCTTTTTTACAAATGCATTTCTCAGAAGTCACAACTATAATCCAGATCTATTGTCAATCTATTAACACTATTTTGTTGCGCAAATGAATTTATGATTGTCTGATAAGTTGATTTGTTTACAATATGAATTCCCCCCAAAGAACATTAAGGAGTTCACGTATATCAGATAAGGCCTTTACCAGCACAATTAATCAAGATAAAATATCCAAGAACAATTTATACAAATGAATTAGTTGTTAGGGTATTCATCTCAACATTATGTCTTCTACCAACTAAAACACATTCCCTTGCAGTTATATTTGAAGACCAACAAACTCATTTTTACCAATTGTACTGTGTTAAATCTCTGATCAAATTAATGATTATTTTAATTAATGACGAGTCACATTTGGAGACGACAGCATAGACGTATTTGTATGTATGCACCATATCAACCATGGGAAATACCTATTTCTGATTCTGATGGCCTAAGATAATATGGGTTTTTATGTAATACCAGGTCAAATATTATAATAACAGTATGTATCCATGTTTGGTTAAAAATAGGGTTATTATTTATCAGTATCTTGGCTGTATGGCTTCAGATCATCGGCCTACATTTGCTCTGAGCACTAACGGGTCACAGCTCCAAGATCCGCCCTCTTCCCTCAGCTGGGCTTCGGTGTCAGGTTTCAGTCTACGGTAGACGCCTTATCTCTTCTCTAGCCGACAGAAAAACTACCCTTTCAAGGTTTTTTCTGTTACTAAACATCCTAAAGCACACAAACACATAACTCACGGGCCTGGGAAGCCTTTTTTATTATCCTTTTACCGGATAATAGCCGAGGAAGCTAACGGTAGCTAGCTGTTTAAAATCCTCCGAGGAGCGGGGGAGGGGCTGCTGTTTAATACTCCAAACCTTAAAAGGTCTTCAGAATAGTGTTTATCAACATTACCAAAGAAAAAAAACGAATGTATTATCGAGTAATGCCCATTGTTAATGTATTAAACTGATACGTGTGCTCCTGGGGGTTTATCTTGGTTAATATAATCGTGTTAAAGAGCTCTGCTTTGACAGGAGATACATCCAAGGGATGCCAATAACAACAGACGAGTAAAACAGATCTAGCAGTAGAAAGGAAGCGTAAAGGATTATAGCAAGGTGTTTTTCATTTTTAAAATGCGTATATGAAAGAGGAAACATTCACTACTTATGTTACTATTTCCTTACATTGACTGTACATAGAAACTACCGTTCAATAACATGATCTGTACGAACTCTGTCAAAATTGTGCGAATATTTTTTACAAAATAAAAAGGCGAAACGAAATGCATTTAGCATCAAATGTACTACAAGCATTGGTATTGTATATTTTTTGATTATAGCTACATTTAAGTCCCATTGTCTACCGTTCACTTCAATCCGATTTTTTTTTCTTCTCTCTTCTCAGATAGTTGATAGTAGAAGGCAAATGTACCTCGATTAGTCTGGTTTATAAATATGAGTTCAATATATATTAATGGTTTACTCTACCTGTTATGGCAGCTCAAATCCACATATTTGTTTTCTTCTGCTGTAACGTATTACGTTAGTCCTTCTCCTCTTGTCGTTTCTTTCTCCTTTCTCTTGTTCTGTCTTTTGTTGATGTTCATATCGCTCACGCCCACTTACCGACGTCACAGGACAAGCAACCAATCAAACGCCTGGGTTTAAGAATAGACTTCACCCACTTTTGGTTTTACCAGAAAACATTTTACTACACAGCGAATGTTTTTGGTGTCGTTTTCCTTAAAATCTAATACTATTGTCATGAATATTGTACTTCAGATCCATAATGAACTTATATTCATCAATGACTGATACTGGAATTGAAAAGAAAACCTGTTCCACGATACGATCCTACTCTAACTGATGTTTCCCTTAACCAATCAGCGAGCTTCATTTTGGCTCGTTCAAATAGTCCGCTCAAAATAGGTTATTGTTATTGGCTCGCGGCTACACACTCCTGAGGACCTGATGCAACCTTAATTACGCCTTCTGGCTGTGTATATTGTCTTCAACCAACTTGATGACTAATTACCAACATATTAGCTGTGAATGTGTAAAAACACTCCCCAGTCTGGGTGTGGACTTGTTGTGACATGCCCTAAAAAATGAATCATTTATTTAAGTTCAACCTAAAGCTTAGTGTGCCGCTTTATTGAGGAAATATACCACATTTGCAAACTGATGTATTGGATACAAGTCATAGATTTTTGGGATTACATCATAGTTCAACTTCCAGGTAATTCCTTTAGAAACTTTACATTTTGCTAACTCACAATGTGTTATTTAAGCTAAATCATTAAGCTGTCTTTGGCTCTTTTCTGCTGCAACAAATGTAAATGTCCTCTCTGTGGGACGAATAAAGTTATTCTGATTTTGAGTTGTAACACAGTAACGCACAGAAATATGTGTTCACCCATAGACTGTAGATATCAAGGGTAATTCTAAAAAATGCTTACATGCTATCTTAAATTGCTGTGTTTTGGTAAATTGACAGCTTTTATCATTTTCAGGCTGATGATTCTGTATGTGTGTGTGTGTGTGTGTGTGTGTGTGTGTGTGTGTGTGTGTGTGTGTGTGTGTGTGTGTGTGTGTGTGTGTGTGTGTGTGTGTGTGTGTGTGTGTGGTGTGTGTGTGTGTGTGTGTGTGTGTGTGTGTGTGTGTGTGTGTGTGTGTGTGTGTGTGTGTATTTACCTTATATATACAGTCTATGGTATTTTCGCTTAAAGTGGGTTCCTTTGGGTGGTTGGGTTTGCAAATGCATTTTTGAGTTGAGGTTAATTGAAATACAATGTGCTTGAAACATAATAAAACATACATTTGATTTGTGTTGTCATTTCAACCATGTCTGACCCTTATCCTATATGCCGTTTGTTTTTAGCTGTACCTCTAAAAATATGCTATAAACAAGGTTGTTGTATTGTATGTGTTCACAATAAACTGAAAACAAACTATTTTTGGAGAATAAAAAGTATGTCACCGAAGATATCGTGAAGTACAGTGGGCTCAATATATACTCCCATTTAAAAGTAGCTAAAGCAGGGGTGTCCAAACATTTTTCACTGAGGGCCACATACAGAAAAACATATAAGGACTGTGCCACTCACTAGAAGTGGGGTGTTTTGCTTATAGGTTAAGTTAGCAAAAATAATCAAATGTAGGTAAATTATGCTTGATACTTGAATATGCTTTGAGAGAGAAAAACAGCTTACATCATAGCTTTGCAATAGTAGTTTGGACACCCCTGAGCTATAGACATATTGTAATAAAGAAAATATAATGGGAATATTCCACAGGGCCTGTTTTGTCCTCTGCATGGAGGTGGGCGGAGCCTCCTGTCTCCTCTCGTCCCCTCCTCGGAAGTAGACGTATCGGTCTATTCCGTTTATTTTTATATATTTTGTATAAACCCCTTTTCCCCAACACGTAGCAATATGAACACCAAGATGGACGATTAAACCGAAGAACGGGTCCCCGATTTCACCCCCATATTTTTCCTGGGATTGAGAGGGCCGGATGAAATCCAACTGTGGTTGTCTCCGCTTCGCAGGGGAGGTAAGGATTTGGGCTCAGTCTACTTGCTGGGTGGGAAGCAGCCATTTAAAGGTCCCTGTTGTGTAGTTAGCACCTTCGTCGCAAGGAACACACACAACCCTTCTCCTTTACATGACACCATAAGAAGGAAGTGCCAAACGTTTTTCAACATGTATTTGTTGGATACATTATACACGAATTTGTGCCCGTGTCATGTTAGCTAAAAAGCTGCTAGGGACGCTAGGCTCCTTTCCAGGGAGTAGTCGTATTCAGGTCAGAAATGGAAGTAAACACTTGGGAATGCACCTGCTCAAGGAAGCCCGGTGCTTTCCAAAAAAAGAAGAAGAGGGAACTCCCGGAGGTGGTTGAAGTTCCTGCTAAATTAGTTTTATATTAGTTTCACTACTTAATTTACGTTACAGTTAGCATGAGCTATAGTCCAAACTACCCTCTAGGTTGGTCAGTTTGCAGTTATGTAACGTTAGCTTTATGCTAACACAGTTTGTGGGTAACGTTACTACGGTTTATTGGGGACTGCTTGCACCATAGACTGTATTTGAACAAATTGAGAAATCTTAACGGGATGGTCCTTATCTAAAATGCATTGAATAAACAAACATGACCACCAGGTTTCCTCAGCTAGCTTACATGATCAGATTGTTCCATTCATTTTAATGCAAAGGAAAGCAGAAAAATAATGGGTTTGCCCAAAAGTAATTTATATTATATATTGTTCTACTTGTCATGATTTACTCTTTGGCTCTAAAAAGTCCTAGTCGGCACAACTTCTCAACATATACAGCTGATGAGGGGCTACAAATAGATACCACCTATGTTTTAGAGGTCTTACAGATTGGGAATCAAACTGCTATAGATCAACTGACTTTCAGTGAATATTGTTGTGTCCTACATTAGACTGTCTACATCAGGGGTGTCCAAACAATTTTCACCGAGGGCCACATACAGAAAAATATACGAAGGGCTGGGCCACTCACTAGAGATGAGGTATATTGCCTCATAAGTTAAAGGTCCCATGTCATGGCCATTTCTACTGATCATAATTCCATTGTTGAGGTCTACTAAAATAGATTTATATTGTGCAATGTTCCAAACTCACATTGGTTTCTCATACAGCATCTCTGTATAGTCTGTGTATTCACTCTCTGTCCTAAACGGCTTGTTGGAGCTCCTGCCCCCCCTCCCTATGAGCCCAGTGGCCGTCTGTGAGACAGCGAAACCCAGCCCGAACACACACACACACCCGCAGCCTGGCTGGGAGTTTGTGTGTGTGCTCACACACCGACTCACAGCCTGTGCCCTGCCGTCTCAGGGAGGAGAAATCGGCGGAGCTGCATCTGAGAAAAGATTGAGTGTGTGTGCGTGAGGAAGTCTGTGGATTGGTGGACCAATCCACGGACTTAATGTAATGGCTCCACGAGTTGGTCCATTTGGAACAATGGGTCCATTTGGGTATGGGCACGTCACTGTACCCAGGAAGAAAAAGAGAAATCTCCAACGAGGCGTTCTGGGGCAGCACAGACAGGTCTTTTCTGTGTTAGAGGTTTACTCGCTACAGGGTGTACTTTGAGGGTTTGTGACTCTGCAGACCGTTTACATGCAGAAAAACCTTCATAACACAAGGGGACGGGTGATAACCGGAAAAGCATGACATGGGACCTTTAAAATATATGTTAGCAAAATCAATCAAATTTAGGTCAATTATTTTTGATACTTGAATATGCCTTAAGAAAACAAACAGCCTGTATCACAGCTCTCCATAGGGTTTCATTTCATTTGTTACAAAAAGTGTTGGCAGCTCATCCCTTAAAGGTCGCCTATTATGCAAAATCCACTTTTTCATGTCCTTTATACATAAACATGTGTCCCTCTGTGTAAAGACACTCTGTAAGTTCCAGGAAAAAAGATCGGTTCAGTTTGGACACCCCTGATCTATAATTTCTCAATCCGTAATGTTTTTTCCAAGTATTGTTTGTCTGAAAAACTGAGTATGATAATGTGATTCTGATGTGTTACTCACTTTGCAGGTAGCTGTATCCAGTGGGGAGGTAGGCTTAACCAGGGGAGAGAATGAAGAACTTCGAACCCTGGGGACGCCAGAGGCTGTCTTTTCTCCTGGAAAAGGCCGCCTCTAGGGAAGCCAAGATGTGGAAGCTCTACGTGCCAAAGAAGTACTCCTCACAGGTGAATGTTTAACCCTGGTTGCGTCGAGTAAAGGATAAAATACATCTCACAAACAAAAACATTCTGGTGCTCGAACTTTGGCCATTAGAATAGCTGCGTCGATACAGCTTCGCTCAAGCAACAGACTCATCAATGTTTCCCCAAAAGACAACCAACTTTAACACTCAGTAACTGACTTTTTTTTTTTTAATATATTATTTATTTGTGACATTGTTAAACACAGAAAGCATACATACATAGACCCTCACATGTACAATAAAGGGAGTAAAAGAGACCATTCTACCAGGGTCAACAATACCAAAAAAAACAAGCTGACCTTAACCACAAAAAACTGAAATAAATAATAATAATATCAACAAAATCAACATATACAAGACATTCTAAGGCATTAAGCTACTCGACATACTGTAATAACTGACTTTTATAAATAGTTTGGTGTATGTTTCTGGAGGAAGCGCAATCTCAAATCTTGACAGCATCAGTCGCAGTTCAGAGCTTGCTAGGGTCAACTATCCAAGACAGCATCAAAATAGAAAATACTCAAATTTATATTGTTTTGATTGAGCTAATTCAATATTAACACATACAGGAAAGCCCTCCCACAAATATCTTATCACATCGTTTTTGGTAGAAGAGCTCACATTACTACAAACCTTATGATAAATATGTTTTTAAATCATATATTGAAACAATTAGTTTCAAGTCTCAAGGTAAGAATAGACCAAAATCATGTATGGGGCCGAAATAATAATATGATAGGAATGTCGTACAAGTATGTACACAGTTCACATTACAAGTTACTATAAAGTAAACCAATATAAGGGTTTTTTTAAGGAGGTTTTTTCATTCTAGAAATACATATTTTTCGTTTTTGGTTTTAGAAAAGAGAGTTAGAATCTGTAAGAATTTCTAATGATATGATTTTAAGACCTTAAATACATGGATGTTTTTTCCCAGCTCGGATGCATCACTTACAGACATGTTATCATGAATCAGCAATAATTCAGGAAAGCAGTGAGTCATTCAAGTAGATTTAAAAATATATATTTGCTTTGGTGTTTAAAGGTGCATACATAAACACAGTAAGAAAAACTAAAACATAAAATAAGAGCCGTTATTTAAGTATAATAATAATAATGCATTACATTTTTTATTAGAGCGCTTTTACAGGTGCTCAAAGCGCTTTACAAGTACACATATTAGACATGTAAGAGTCATTACTGCGGACATTACCCACAGGAGCAAATGCGGGTAAAGTGTCTTGCCCAAGGACTCAACGGCCTGACGCAGTGGCGGCCGAGGCGGGATTCGAACTGGAGTATAAAGAACTAAAGTACAAAGAACTGGAGAAAAGTATACTTTAATTATTATGAAATGAAGAACTGTGTACAAGAAAAATAAATATACATTAAAAGAAACAATAAATAATACGGCAATTTGAAAAAATCGAGTACATCGGAGTTAAAAGTGGAAGAGCTGTTCAGTTTGGAGAAGTGGAAGTATTGCGTAGAAATGTTAAATACTGCCAGAGGGTAAAAGCATCACAGTATGGAGTTTGAGGAAAGGTGTGTGTTAATGAATCAGCACTGACGCAAACGTTTCATCACACTCAGCTGATCTCACCCAGTTTCCATGTCTAGAGACACACCTTCAGACGATGTCTAAATGTTTGTTTCATCACACCCCAGTTTACAGGAAAGCCCCCGCAAGATGTCAGGTACCTGTGAAATTATTTCCGTTCCGCTAAATCAGATCCCCTTTTACCTTGTATTTTTAAACAGTTTATTTTAAGTCAATGATTCTTTTATAACTGTGTGTTTGTTTTTTTACTTGTCATTATCATTCCCCCCTTTTTTTTATACTCAAACATTTTTATCGTAACTTAATTGTCAGTTTTTCTTCTGGTTAAACAATGGTAAAATGTCACTTTTAGTCATTTCGGTATATTCATTTTTCTCAAGAAAGCGTGGTTTTTGTTCTCAAATATTCTCCTTTTTGGCACATACCATTTATTCTAATTATCATAAGCTTAATGGTTGTCTTGACACCATTTCTTTTTGATTCAAACGACATTTATATTCTTGATCATGAGAAAACTGTCTCGTTATGGATCCTCATCATAAATAATGACCGTTTTCTTGAAAGAGAATACAGATTGATGTTCACAGCTTAATATGTTGCGATCACAAAACCTCCACAAATCTGAAATGTGAATATCACACAGAAAACTGTATATTATCTCTGATTATGAGCTTTCTTACATCACATTAGCTTTCAAAGTAATAAGCAGAAGCCGTGTATTTAGACATGGTGTCACTGTGTTGATGCCTTGCCGTCATTACAAGTCTATGAATCACTTATTAGAAGGCATTGTTGTCATAACTGTAACTCAAGTGAAGTATGTGACGCTATAATGTCCTCGAACAGAGACTGTCACCATTGTGCAATAACCACAGCCTATAAACAATGTTGCGCAATACAACTGCTTACGCCATACACACTTATTCTTACAATGTATTCATGTTTTTACTGGCTCCTTCAATACTCTTATATTTCTACTTCATATTTTAAACGCTTATTTTATTTATTTGTTTATTCCCCACATGGCAGCTATTTTAAAACAAAACATGTACACTTATACTGTTTATTTTTTTAATAGCGCATGGTAGAAAGGAACAGGGAGAAGAACATTTTATTTGACTTGCCCCTTCTAAAACAAAACATGAAATAACCATAAAAAAGTCAAATAAAAGCAATATTCTTTCAGTCGCTTACAAATACTGAAGCATATAACCAGAACACAAAACCAGAAGACATTTTGTACCGTGGATGTGTATTTATTTGATACCATTGTTGTAACGTGTGCTTGCCTCTTCATTTAACATGTAACTCTGCTGTGCCTTGGCTGAGGAACACATAATGACTTCTGATTGTGCTGTGCTCTCAGGATACAGACGTCACCCCTGCGCAGCGGGACGAGGCCGTGCGATGGCTGACGGATCTCCACAGCAGCCTGCAGCTGTACCCAGAGACCCTGGTGTTAGCTGTTAGCATACTGGACCGCTTCCTCGCTCCCATCAAGGTACGCTGACACCAGCAGTACTCCTTTAATCATGCTAAGTAGTCTCATTTAGTCACTTAATAGCAGCTGCTGTTTTTAAGACACATTTACCAGTGGGACATTGAGAACAAGACTTGAAAATCTATTAAAGGGGACCTATCATGCAAAATGCACTTCTTGATGTCTTTTATACATCAACATGTGTCCCCGGTGTGTCGGGGAACTCACGCAGCGTCAGAAAACAAAACCCTCTCTCTTTTCCTCCGTACCCAAATCTCTAAAAACGGGGGAACAACGGAGCTGATCCAGATTTGCGTCCGATATGACGTAATATCTGAAATGTGGACCCACGGCCCAATCAGAAACGTTGCTATCAGAAACAATGCCCGACTGTTTTGGACGTAATATGGTCGGTGTTTACATTAGCATCGCTAACACTCAGAGCTAACCTGTACTGGAGAGCATGTGTGTGAAGAAGCAGGAAGTAAAAAGGAACTCACCTTGTGGTATAACCGGCAAGAGAGAAAGCCTTTGAGCTCCAAACTGTTTCAGAGAGAATCCTTGATAATCCATGATATGGAGTTTCATCACGGCAGTATTTAGTTTAGACAGTAGCTGCCGGGTCCCGCATGAGCTCAGACCCCTCCTCTTTATTAATTTTTTTTTTTTTAAAGCTTTATCCCCAAATCAGCACTTTTGAAACAGGAAGGGAAATAGAGGGATATGAGGCATGGCTAGAATGGGTGATCTGTTTGGTATTTTGAGCAAAACACTTCATAGACATGTTCGTATATATTTTCATATAACTGACACCTATGCTATTGCCTAAAAATAGCATGATAGGTGACCTTTAAGATTGTGTTAACTTCAGACCAAGGCTAAAATGCTAACTAATGTCCGGGTTTTACGACTCATTCCTTCAATACTTTATTTATTACACAACACATTTGTCTACAACTGCATCTAATGTTATTGTACAGATACATTTTTAAAACTAATTTCCTCTCTTATTGTTTTTTGCATTACAATCAACATATACCACAATGGAAGTTTTATCAATTTTTTTCTAGCCTTTTGATCCATCTGTACAAATATGCTGACAAAGCGTTTGTTACAATTGACAGTCAGTGTTTACACAGGAACAGGAAGGGTCAGTTCTGAATGTCCTGCCAGGTCACCTGAGACAGGAAGTTCCTGTTTATTAACTGAGGAATAAAATGTCCAAGGGTAATCAGAAGCTGTGCTTTTAGACGACGTGGCAGATGTCACCGGCTGACTTTCTCAGCTGTCAGCAGCTAACAGCAGAAATGAAACTAAGGTTGGCTCCATGAGGTGGTTGGAAAAGCTTTTATAGACCTGTTTACCACAGACGTTGTATAAGTAGGAACATCACAGATATAGTAAACTTCCAGATGATGTATTCCACGATTATGTGGCATTTATTGTTGGCCTTGCATATCCCTATCTACTGTATATGGATCCTAATCGGTTAAAGAGATGGAAGTTCAACATTAAACAATATAATAATTCATCATAAAAACATCAAATGTCTTGTGAGCTGTAACTCTAAAGATTTTATTGATTCACTGATGGATCGTTTTGTCTTCAGGCCCGTCCGAAGTATCTGCGCTGCATCGCCATCGCCTGCTTCTTCCTGGCTGCTAAGACCTGCGAGGAGGACGAGGTGAGCACATGCAACACACACACACACACACACACACACACACACACACATATTTATATACAAACACACAGGGCTGGAAACAATAAAGGGACCACTACAGAATCACTTTATCAGTATTGTCATACTGATATTTTGTACAAACTGTAAAGTCCACTGAGACAAATGTAACATTTGTGATATTGGGCTATATAAATAAACATTGATTGATTGATTGATTGATATCTGGTTTTACATTTTAATTGTCTGCGGTTGAGAAAAATAAACATTTCTTATTCTATCAACTACTGACAACATTTCTCTCAAATATCAAACAGAAGATGCATTTAGATATTATTAGTTATTTGCAGACAATGACAACTGGACAGAATAAGCATGCCGTGGTTTCAGACCTCGAATTATGTAAAGAAAACAAATTCATATTCATTTTTAAACGACACAATACGAATGTTCTATCTCGGGAAGAGACAAACGTCCCTCTCCAAAAGACAGGATGTTACTGTGTTTATCTGAGGAACAAAATGTTCCCGGATTATCAGAAACCGGACTTGATAAGGGTGTGTGTTGTGTGTGGTGTGTGTGTGTGTGGTGTGTGTGTGTGTGTGTGTGTGTGTGTGTGTGTGTGTGTGTGGTGTGTGGTGTGTGTGTGTGTGTGGTGTGTGTGGTGTGTGGTGTGTGTGTGTGTGTGTGTGTGTGTGTGTGTGGTGTGTGTGTGTGTGTGTGTGTTGTGTGTGTGTGTGTGTGTGTGTGTGTGTGTGGTGTGTGTGTGTGTGTTGTGTGTTGTGTGTGTGTGTGTGTGTGTGTGTGTGTGTGTGTGGTGTGTGTGTGTGTGTGTGTGTGTGTGTGTGTGTGTGTGTGTGTGTGTGTGTGTGTGTGTCCAGCGTCTGCCCACTCTGAAAAGAGCTTGCGGTCTCCAGCAGCTGTGGCTGTTCTCCGTCTGAGATCCTGAGGATGGAGCGGATCGTTCTGGACAAACTGAGCTGGGATCTGCACACCGCCACCGCACTGGACTTCCTGCAAATCGTACGTCTGACACACACACACACATACACACACACACACACACACACACACACACACATTGCCTCTCTGTTAGGACAGGCTCAGAGCTTTAAGGGCCCTCAAAGTCAGTAGGCTGAATTGTTTAAAGAGGCCATGTAGTTTGTTATATATGTTTTTGCGCATGTAAATGGTCTGGGGCGGGACATCTCTAAGCTGGTTGACCAATCACAACAGAGCCGGCCAGCTAACCAATCAGAGCAGACTGGGCTCTGGTTTCAGACAGAGGGTGAAAAGAGGTGCTGCAGCACAGGCAGTATGAGGAAAGAGCTTTTTGAACATTAAAGCATGGAGACACGTCCCAGTAGAGACACTACATTCTCATCAGTGCCATTAGTGACACCTGCTGGGGGAAAATAAACTGTTTAGCTTCAGTTTAATAGGCTTTACTCATTACTCATTGGTAGATGTTATGTTATTTCAACCATTATTGTCATCTGGCTTGGGACGATTATCACGACTAATGACATGAAATACTGTAGTGTAGATGTGATGAGGAAAATAGACACTGTCCAACTGCTAATGTGGATAGCAAATCTCTCTCTAATGACCTGCCATTAGGCAAAAATGTACACAAGAAATATCTAAACCAAAACGAGGGGGGGTCATGAACTTCACTGACTCCATTCCTGCTCCCTTAGGCTCAAATCTTTAGGTCAAATATTTGAAACTCCACTAATGGTACGGCTCTAAATGCGTGTTTGGACACAATGCAGAGTACATTTTCGACGCAGTGAAGTAATAGAAAGAAGGAAATGGACGTGGCAGCACAAATGAAACCTTCACATCGATTGAAGCACTTTTTATTATGAGCTAAAGTCTCACGTTACCCTGACATTTGACTTACTTTATAAGCATATAGAGACCAGCAATATCGAAGCTAGTTAGGAGGAAACATAAAAAAAGACCAGAGCCACAGAAAGCAAACCCAGTTTCTGTTGTTTGTCTCTTAAAGACTACATTTTGACCCCGATGATAATGTTTCACCTGCTTTTCCTCCCGACCCATAGTTCCATGCGACGGTGTTGTCGTGCCACTCGGGGTTTTTGGACTCCATGTTGGAGCTGAACCCCTCGCAGCACCTCGCCCTGCTCACACGGAGACTGTACCACTGTCTGGCTGACCACACACTCTTACAGGTACACACACACACTTCACTTCTTACCATTGATTCAAAGACAGAGGGAAGTCGTTGTTTGCCCACACTCTGAACACGTTTGTCCCTCCTGTGTTCCCGTAGCTCAGAGGATCCATGCTGGCCCTGGCCCTCATCACCCTGGAGCTGGAGACCTGTTGCCCTGATTGGCTGGCTCTCACCATCGAGCTGCTGAGGAAGGCACAGGTACACACAGGGTGTTTCTCAATGTCGAGTACGCTTGCTTGGTAGCACATGTCTTCCGAGCGTCTTGCTTCAGAAGCGAGGCAAGAATCCTTCCTGGCATTCGGAAAACAAAGAGTGGAACAGGCTAGCAAGTGTGCGTCATATGAGAGGCCCCGCCTTACATCTTCCGCCACAGATTTGCGGAAATTGGTCCGTGTGCAAAGCATTGTGGGGATTTTAAGTCCGCGGAGTCTACACATGTGCAGCCTCGAAATTTCTCCTAACGAAGTACGCCGGGCTCGGTAGAATTCCAAGTATGCTGGACATTGGAACAGTCCTTCGGCGGCACTCGATGACGTAGTATGCTTGAAATAGTGGCTCTGGAGCAGCTTTACTCGCGATTGAGAAACACCCTCTCACAATGAGCTGGTGGCCAATCAGACGCTCTGAAGGTTCAGGGTGTAGAAGTTGAACATATTCAAGTTGTAAATGAGGATTTCTGGGGGTGTTCTTGCACACTTTATAATCCAAGAGAATATTCCAGTTACTTAAATGTGTCAGTGTTCTCTTAGAATCAACCAACTTCCTCTCTGAGAAAATCTGTGTTTCTATTTCAATTGCTGTTATCAGCCATCATGAAGTTTCATTTTAGTTCCTCAAAATGGTTCAACATTTGATATATTCATATGCGTTATTCAAATCTCAAGAACACGGACAACGAGAACAACATCATTGTCACAAAGTTAGTTTATGCAAATGAAAGCTCAGTGTCTGCTGTAGAAGTGGTATTGCTGTATTTCTAACTGGTTAGACATTTCTGCCGTTGCTGTCAAATTGTCAAAACGACATCCGGTAGCTTTATAAAAAGGAACAGTAACATTTGAGCTGGTGACCATCATGTTAGGAAAGCTAAACCACATTGACAACGAGGCTCCCCAGAGGCTCCAGGCATAATGAAATCATCAGTATGTCTGCCATTTCTAAGCCTTTAGAGGATAAATGTGTTCCTCGTCCCTCTCTCAGATCGACAGCTCTGAGTTGATCCGGAGTCGAGAGCTGGTGGCTCGTAGTCTGTCCACACTGAAAGCTTCCCTGCCTCCCAACACTGTCTACATCTACCAACCCCTGCAGAGCAGCACCACCCTGCAGCCCCCGGACCCCTCGCCCTCCTGCTGCATACTGGGTACGTTCAGAATCATTTGTATAGTGCCTTTCAAGGGACCCAAGGTCGCTTTACATGGTGAACAAACAAACAAAAGGGGCAAATAATAATAACGTTCAAAGGGAGACTCCACCCACTCATACAGGTGTTTGGAGTGGGCTGCATGTGTGGAATAAGGGAAGTATACAGGCTTAGAGAGAGAGGGAGAATTTCTCCTGTGTTATTCTCCAAAGTGAATGTAAACTTGAATAATGTACTCCATTTGAATGTAATAATTATGTTGGTTGTTGTTTGTGGAAGCGCCAGTGAATGAGCCCATTAACTGAGTTTTAAACATCACTTTAAATGGTCCCCATAGGCCCCGCCCACTTGATCGGATCGGTATCGGCCGATACTGATTCCGGCGATCAGAGCATCCCTAGTTAAAATCTATTATTGCTTATATGTATCCTTATCATATATAACTCCTGATGGCAGACAGGAGCTCTCTCACCTATTAGGGATCTATCCCTACATGCAGTCGTAAACAGGATCAATTATTCTGCTAAATGTATGATTGTTTATTCGAGTACCGACTCTCCCTTGAGAACTTCAACACAGAAAGGTATTTATGTAACTTTTTTTCTTCCCCCAGGGATCCTCTCTGAGTCTTCCAGGGACCATGTCCTGGTGGCCCCTGCTGATGGGGGGGAGAAGAGCTCCACCTCCTCCTCCAGCAGCAGCATGCCAGGTCTCCTCTCTCCTCCCAAACTCCTGCACCGCCCTCGCCACCCGAAGGTGCAGAAGGTCACGCTGCGCTGCAAGGCATCCGCGAAGCGCAAGGTACCACTGTCACTCTGTTTAAAATGATATTCAATAATGTAGACGACATGATATTTGCAACATTTTGAAAGTCATTTAATTAGAGTAGTATTTCTTCTTTAAGCGTCCGTGATTCAAGCTTCTTAAATCTAAATCTTAGCTTATTATTATGCAGTAAAATGTAAACAAACAGTCATATCATCGTCTCATTGTACCAGCTTCTTCCAGCTCCAGCGTTTTTTATTCTCACCATAGTGGGGCTGACCCGCATGCCATTCAGCTCGTCATGCTAATCTTATTACACAACTTAGTTAGATACTAAGATTTACTATTTATATACTTACTAGATTCTGATTGGTCAATTTGGACATTCAGTGGTCTGCTCTTTATTGGATAGCAGACGTTGCTAAGGAAACTTTGATCGTGTGCACTCATATCAATCCGTAGAAAGTAGTCTGAAAATACCAGGGAATACTTTTAGAATATTTTCATTTTTATATTTGTAAAGATCACAAAGCTTTGGATTGTTAATGACTAAACTCTCCTATGTAAGGAAATGGAAACAAAATCATGAAAACTGCGCAATAGAAACAACGCAATCGCTTTGAATTCAACAAAATCTTGTCCAATTATTGAGTTACGTAAGTATTCATGTTATAAGCGTCAAGAGGGGTTTTGAGTTCATCTTTAATGACACGCTCGCTGCACATTATCCCTGGCTAATCACTACTAGCTCTGTTGCTAACAGCGTAAGCTTGAATGAACCAGGCCCAACTTGTTGCATGCATCAATGTTCATACTGTATTACACATCCAGCTACAAACATATACAAACAGCCTTATAAGTAATGAAAGTACCTGTGGGTATGTATGTATTATTATGTACTTTTTGTTTGGCCTTATGATGGCTAAATGTGGACGACCATCTTAGTTTTCATTCATGTAGCAATGTGTGTGTGTGTGTGTGTGTGTGTGTGTGTGTGTGTGTGTGTGTGTGTGTGTGTGTGTGTGTGTGTGTGTGTGTGTGTGTGTGTGTGTGTGTGTGTGTGTGTGTGTGTGTGTGTGTGTGTGGTGTTGTGTGTGTGTGTGGTGTGTGTGTGTGTGTGTGTGTGTGTGTGTGTGTGTGTGTGTGTGTGTGTGTGTGTGTGTGTGTGTGTGTGTGTGTGTGTGTGTGTGTGTGTGTGTGTGTTGTGTGTGTGTGTGTGTGTGTGTGTGTGTTGTGTGTGTGTGTGTGTGTGTGTGTGTGTGTGTGTGTGTGTGTGTGTGTGGTGTGTGTGTACCCCCAGGAAGAATATCTAATAGCCACTTTCACACAAAGTACTTTGCCGTACTTCGTTCCCCCATGGAACTAAAGCGCAGATCGCGTTCACACCGGAATAAGTTCCCTGAGGGAAGATTACGCAAATGATGCCGCTGACGTCACTTCTTCTTCTTCTGCTTTGGGTTTACTGGCAGGCCGCAAACAACTTCACGGTGTATACTGCCACCACAAGTCCCCGGCCGGAAGTCCCCGGAGTTGGAAGGCTTCAGTAGAAGCTGCTGGGACTCCCAGCAGCTTCTACTGAAGCTTACCGAGTAAATAGCCAGAACGCCGACACCTCCTCATCTCCACCGCTCCCATGCTTTCTTTTGTGTTGCCATAAGTTATTCTCTCTCCGTTGGTGCGCAGGGCTAATGCTAATAATGCTAATACCAGCAAATACAATGGCGGCTTCAAAAAACTTTTCCGAGTTTTACGGGGCGTGGTTTGCAATTCGCTCAGCCAATCAGAAATTGGAACTTTTGTCTCCCCAGGAAACCACCTCTCTAGCAGGGACTACAAAGGGGGGAAAGTTCTCATGAACTAAGTTCTCTTTTTGGTGTGAACGCAAAATCCCAGGAACTATCGGAACTAAACGGGAAAAGTACTCCGGTGTGAAAGCGCCTAGTGCTAGTGCTAGTGCTAATGGGGATCCTAATAAAGAATAAGTAATTGGCTTAATAACTGATAATAAAGATAGTCTGTTGCAGCCCTAGAGTCACAATACAACTGTGTGTTTTCAGGTGGAGGAGATGGAGGTGGACGACATTTACGACGGCATCAAGCGTCTCTACAACGAAGACGTTACCACCGCTGTCCAGGAGGGGGCGCTACCACCAGGAGGAGGAGGTCTGAGTGTCTGCAGCATCCTGATGCCCCGACAGGAAGGCAGCTCCTCCCCCTGCCCCCCCCTGCAGCCAGTCAGTGCCTCCTAGAGACCAAACAGGAAGCTCTAAACCAAAACCACCTCCACCCTGACATCATCATCGCGAGAATTACAAAGAAATAACGTTTTCTGAACAAACAGTGAGGCGATGGGCGACTCCCTGAGCAATAGGCGACAAAAAGAAATGTTACCAATGTATAAAAACCAACTTAAAGGCAGCTCCTCTGGGGAAGTTGTTAAAACACAAATACAGCGGGTGATGTCAGCGGTTCAGGTGGTTTTGGTTTCGGCGGTGCAAACCCCCAGTGTGACCTGAGGACATTACCCATCATGCCCTGCAACAGGAAAACAGAGCCCCAAAAAAAAAATTAAACATGAAAAAATGTACAAAAACAAGCGGCTGCTAATATTTAATAAATGATATCTGTTGAATACAATACTACAAAATGAAAAAAAAAATTATAAATACAAAAGATACCTTCAAAAAAACCTAGATTTTACTCCACCCATCCCCCCCCCCCCCCCCCCCCCCACATGTCTCTCTCTCATCGTTCGTCAACCTTTTATTGTTTTTCCATTCTCTCCTTATATTTTATATATTTATGTTTGTATTCTCTCATCTTCTCTCTCCCACCTACCTCTGCATGTTTTCATCTCTCTGAAGTCGTGAATCAAATGACGATTATCTGCATTACTCACCCAGACAGAGAAACGTTGTTTTTAGTGAAGTGCAATTTTAATTGTTATTAAGATGCTAATATAAATATCCCTCTCAGCTTGTGACGGCTTGACTGAATGAACGTTTCTCAGGTTGTTTTATTCTTCCCCAAAAAAAAAAAAAGGCTTACGGTTTCTAATGAAGCCCCTTGAATGCATCGTCTACGAGAAGTCTCATGGAAACATCCAGGTTTTGGGACCTTTACACAAACAAAGGGACCTCGTAAAATCAAACTCTCCATGGTTTCTGTGTTGAAGCACTTAAGAGGGGATTAAACCTATATATTCACATGTAATAAAAACAACCTTGAGTTATTTAAAGCATTTTAATATTGAGCTAAGAGACAAATGTGTTTTTTGAGTTGGTGTCTGAGCTTCACCAGAAGACAAGTGGCACTTTAATGTTCACTTTAAAAGTAAAAACGACGCTGTTTTCACCTTGAAGTTCTTTTTGATATGATTTTATTCCTGCAAAAAGCTCTGTTCCTCCTGCTGTGGGAGCTGCTGGGGGGCGCTGCTCCAGGTCACTTGAATGAACCAATAAATAAAAAGACATGAAGTATGAAAACTCAGAAAGCTCCGTGTCCTTTTTTTAATCACACAGAAATGTTGTTCACAGGCAGCATGAGGTAACAAGTTACACTGTATTACCTAACTCCATAACAGGTCTAACAGGATGCACACAGCTCTGAGTGTGTTCAAAGAAAACCTCTCTCTCAGAAAACGCACACACGATTTGTACTTTTGTGCTACTGAGGGAACAACAACCTTATTAAGATTCTGTAAAACCAAGTCTAATCTCTTTATGGTGTTTTCAAAACTGGTAAACACATTTTCCATATGGAGAAAAATGTGTGTGTGTGTCCTAGCATTACTATACTTGTGGGGACCTAAATCTGTTTACACAGTCACGTGTGGGGACTCACCTCCCTTATGGGGACATAATGGAGGTCCACATGAGGGGAACCATTCGTGTGTGTGTGTGTGTGTGCGCTTTGAGAGGGAGAGCTGTTAAACAAGTTCTGTTGGTAGAACTGCTGGGTGGATACACATGATGGGACTGAGGTGTTAGTTGAAGGGTGTGTCAGCTCTCATATCATGATGTCATTCATACACCTTTTTTATTTTGACATAAGTATCATACAGCTCCAAATAACTCCATTACATGTCACTTGTTACACACTTTTATCCAATTGTATAAGAAAGGAGAAAAGGACCCATCTTAGTGTCCTTTTTACTTGAGGTTTAAATAACACCGTTAGTTCAAAGATTACAAACTGAAATTCATCACTGTATTCTTTCTCAGTTACCTCGAATTAGATGAGAGAACAGACAAGAACTAGGAAGTTGAGAATACATTTATCCTGTAAGACAACATAATATAATTATTAACTTGTGTTACCATCTGGAGGTTAAACGGTAGTAAATAAATTAAAGCTTAGATTTATATTCGTAACTTTTCACTGTCTTTTTATGGGCACCACAAAAAATGGCAGATAGCTTCTAAAGTCATTCAGATCAATAAAAACTGAGCAACAATGTCAAATAAAGTTGTATAAAAACAAAACACCTCAAACGTTGAAACATTTAATACTTAGTGATGTGAAAAAACTGTACAAAATACACTTATTGCAGCAAACTTAAGAGCGCAATCATTTACAAAGTGAGTGTTAAAGAACAATACGTGTGTTTTTATATCAAATGTATATAATACTCACTTGTGTGATATTTTAGAGAAAATTGGCACAACTCATCGGTACAATACATAATATGAAACTAGGGTATAGGGTTAAGCTTCGTCCAAAAGTAACATGTAATAACTTGATTGCTTAATCCGGACAAACACAAATGTTACAATGTTGGTTAATTGGTGATTTTGCATACTTTTTTTGGTAGCTAATAAATCATATTTTTTTTCTTCCGATTGACTCTTTTCCTGATCAGCAAATTGCTCATAAACACAACATTTAAAGAGTTATTTTTCATCATTAAATCCAGCTTTACAGATCTGTTGATACTACTTCCAAAGATTATGGACACCTCGCTTCTGCTTCAGTGCCAGCAACAAGTAATGTCCTATTGTAGTAGGATTAGATTTGATTGCACAGGTGTTCATGTTTTGTCCACTACTTCCTCAAAGCTCTTTTCACTGCAAGTTCATTTTCAGGCTGTTTCTTTTGTCGCCACACATCGACTGAAAGCAGATCCCCCTTGCTGATCTGCAAGTGCTAACACCTCCTCCTGCATTCATCCATCAGGCGTCTCAGACCCAGCATTCTTTGTCAAACACAGGATACATATCTGGTCAAACTGAACGCTCCGGTGGAGAAACGAGTGCTTCCTGTTGTTGCAGTCATTTGAATTCCTTTTTTAACAGTGTGTAGACACAAGCAACAGATGCTAACTGAGGGGACTGTTAGCCAGCTCATAGAGTCCTGTTGTGAACCAGGATATGTTGAGTACGCAACCGTTTTATGTTAGAAATGAGTAGTACGGGTCGCCAGCACATAGAAACTGCAGGATGCTAACGTTCATGTGCTAGGCAATATGCTAAATGAGCAGAGGTTGCATTAATTAGCATATGCAGACGTTAGTTTAAAATTGTCTTGGCCATTTTGGAGTTTATTGAGGATGTTGAATCAATTTCTGAAGTTTCCAGGATCAAAAATGGCAGTTTTATCCAGAAAGTTGACTTATTTGTTTTCCCCGTGGGCTGAATTTGATGCATTTTTGGTAGATTTGAACGTTTTTGTGGACTCTAACTGCCATTTCTGATCCTAAAATTGTAAGAAATTGATTCACCATTCTTACTGTACTTCGAAAACCACACCAAAAGGGTCCATATCGCCCAATAAATGTTGTAGCCATTGTCTGCTAATAAATGCAAATTGCACAACATATGCAAGTTAGCATCCAGCAGTTTCTATGAACTTGGGACACTTCCTACTCATTTCTAACATAGAGCCTTCGGGTTCTCTACATTTCCGGGTTCACACCGCTGGCAACTAGACTACAAGGTAAGAGCAACAGTCAGCAAACCAATCCAAATCCAGTTCATCTGATGTTTAAAACGAGGAGTCAGACTGGTGTCCGTGGAAGTGCTGCAGTGATTTGTGTTTTAGGAACGCAGCGATGGACGTCGACCTTTTGACCCTCTGCGTGCCGGAGGTCAGAGGCCTCTCGGTGGGGGAGGCGAAGGAGAGGTGATGGCGACGGCGACGAGGGTGGGACTGGCGTTGTTTCACGTGGGGGTTTCCCCCCCCGACTCCTCCCCCCTCTCCCCCTGCAGCTCTGACCGGAGCCCCTAGCAGCGTGAAGACCTCCGGAGCGCTGCCGCGGCTCAGGTACTGCCAGGGCCTCTTCCCCGCCGTGTCCCTCAGCTTCACGTCGGCGCTGAACTTGGTCACCAGCAGCCTCATGATGTTCTTGTGGCCGTGCATGGCGGAGATGTGGAGGGGCGTGTAGCCGCATGTCGACCGGGCGTTCACATCGAAGGTCAGACCAGCTTTCTGAACTCCATACCTGAAACCAAGACGGAGAACATATCAGAATCAGAATCAGGGTTATCACCAGGTAGGTTGACACGTACGAGAAATTTGACTTGATGTCGTGGTGCATACATAAAAAGAAAAAAAAGGACAAAAACCACAGATAGAGAACTGTTAAGGTCCCATGTCATGGCCATTTCTACTGATCATAATTCCATTGTTGAGGTCTACTAAATTTTCCAAACTCACATTGGTTTCTCACAGCATCTCTGTATAGCATGTGTATTCACTCTCTGTCCTAAACGGCTTGTTGGAGCTCCCCCCCTCCCTCCCTGTGAGCCCAGTGGCCGTCTGCGAGACACAGCGAGACACAGCCCGAACACACACACCCGCAGCCTGGCTGGGAGTTTGTGTGTGTGCTCAGGCTGAGTTCCACGGTGTCTCGCTGTCTCACCGACCCCACACCAGTGAGCCAGCTCAGTGTCCCGCTCCTCGCAGCAGCGAGCCTCACGACGTCCCTATGAGTGTGTGTGTGTGAGGAAGTCCGCGGATTGGTCCAAACGTAATGGCTCCGCGGACGTAACGTCGCTATACCCGAAATACGTCACTATACCCAAGAAGTAAACAATGGGAAAAGAGAAATCTCCAACGAGGCGTTCTGGGGCAGCACAGACAGGTCTTCTCTGTGTTAGAGTTTTACTCGCTACAGGGTGTACTTTGAGGGTTTGTGACTCTGCAGACCGTTTACATGCAGACAAACCTTCATAACACAAGGGGACGGGTGATAACCAGAAAAGCATGACATGGGATCTTTAAAATAAAACTATAATTACATTAAAAGTAATAAAACAGATATAGTCAAATTAAATATAGCAGTAATTACAATGCAATAGAATGGAAAATCAGAAGGATAGAATATCAGTTGCTCATAGCAGAAAATATATTTAAAGTTTATTTTCCTTTGTTGGAGAATAGATATTCTTCAAGTGCATTTTAATAATAATAATAATAATAATTCATTGTATTTATAGAGCGCTTTTCATGGTTTTCAAGGACACTTCACAAATTCATCAAAACAACACACTTAACATACGTAAAACAAAACAACAACTACAGATTTAAAGCCGTTCTGAAAAGGCGAGTTTTGATTTCTGGTTTGAATGAAGATGCAGTCATGGATGTGTTTTGTCAGTTTTGACGTACATTTGCGTCGACTTCACACAATTAAGTAAAACATGTAAATATTTAGCAGCTTATATCTTACTACTGACGTCACTGCCTCTAAAGTTCACTCCACTTTGTGTCCACGGTGGAGTTTAAAATATTTGACCCATGTGATTCGCCTTGAGGGAGCAGGAATGTGATCAGTACACTTCTCGACATTCTTTGATTTAGATATTTCTTGTGTACAAGTGAACATCTTTGCCTGGTGGTTACTCCTTAGAGATCACAATCATGGGTTTGTGAATATCTCTTTCTTATCTGATACCATTTGGACAAACAATGAGATATTTAGCTCAGGTAATAACACATAATTGTACCAAGCAACAGACCTTTTGACCCTTAGGCTGCAAACCATGTCTTAAAGATTGACTATACATTAGACATCAGAAAACCATCCGAGCGACATTTTTGTTTTAGCCGATTGGTTTTCTATTTATTTATTTGTTATTGTTTGTATGTCTGTTTGTCTTCTGTCTGTGTGGGATTTTCTTTGCCCTGGTGGTGTTAAGCAGTATTTACATTGTTACCTATTTTTCTATAAAGTGAAGATTTGTTTACCTGCTTTTGACACATGCTCAGATAGAATAACTGTATGCTGTTGAAAAAACCCAATAAACAAAGTTTAAACAGCTAGTTCGCTCTGATGGTTTTCTTTTTCTAACAGCGAGCATCGTACCATAAGGTGTTGAGGACTCTGTGTTCGCCGTGCTTTGCGATCCAGTGCAGCACGGTGAAGCCGGAGATGAAGTCCTGCCTGTTGAGCAGCGACGAGTCCTCTCTGAAGAGGGTGTAGATGTCGGGCCAGGCCCCCGTCGCGCCCTTCACCAGCCAGGCGTGCTCCTTGGGCTCCAGAGGAACCAGGGACTGAGGGGCAAACATGCACTTAATAAATGTTCTTTACGGGAATCAGAAACAGGTTTATTACCAGGTAGGTTCACACGTACGAGGAATTTGACTTGATGTCATGGTGCATACATAAAGGAGTCTATGAACGGGAATCAGTTCAGTGTTGTTAAACTAACCACATGACAACATTGTTTATTGTTTCCTGTTTGTTGGCAAGACAAAGTAAAGAGCCTTTGTTGCTAGTTGTCAATCTTACTGATAATGACATTACTTTACTGTCAGCATATAAACCAGATAAGGACACTTATGCGATATTTCGATGACTTAAAGGTGGGTGTAGAGGAAACTTCTGTGTAGCTATGCACTGGGAGTCACCGACTCAGGAAGGAGACACGGGAAGAGCAGTAGCTTTGATGTCAAACACTGATGGTTTATTTGGAGTTAACGGCCGGAGGATTCACATCACAAGTCCAAGAGTCAGAGGTTCTGACTTCACGGTAGAGTTGCCACGTCAATTCTGAAGAACTCTACCCCAGACCCATGTATTTAGCTAGTTCAGAGAGCATCATCAACATGCTGCATAACAAGATAGAATGATAACACCTCTATCAGCTGACGCCAACAGGCAGGAACAGGGAGACAAAACACTGAGAGCACAGCAGCCAAGGTTACAGGTGCCTGTGCTCAGTCAGGACAGTTTGAACTGATACACTGGGTCAAAGTTATGGGCCTTGGAAAATATTCCACAACAGTGGGGTAGGTAATTTTGGAGTGCGCTAGAATTTGAAAATACACAACCGGAAAAAATCTACCACTTCCTCACAGAGCCCCTCCTCCAACACACACGAACGCGCACATGACCAATGAGGGCACGAGATAAGTGTGTGCCCCGATGGAAGGCTGACAGGCAGGTAGGCCATCCAGTTACTTCAGATATTCATTGCTATCGGGATGTTAAGAGCATTCCATGGAATATAACAAAAAGTGTATCTCGAGCCGGTTTCTCAAACTTAACTGCCCCACCTTTAAATGTAAGACAATATCTAGTCAAGTCAAAGTCAACTTTATTGTCAATCTGTTTCCCACAATCCCGAATACAATGTCCATCAGTCTCACCTGTCTAGTGGGCCCTTCCTGGTCATTGGTGTTAGAGGCGGGGGTGCAGGTGGAGCTCCTCCTCCCCCCTCTGACCTCCCCCAGGTCTGCCAGGCTGTGGCAGCTGGGGGTGGTAGAGCAGGACGACAGGGAGGAGGTGGACAGGTCGTATCGCAGGCTGAGAGACGAGGAGATCAGGTGGAGGCGGTTCAGCCGGGCCGCCTCGCTGCCTCCCCCCGCACGCGCCTCCTCCTGCAGGATCTGGTCCAGGTCGGCTCCCAGGCTGCGGCACATCCTGCTCCTCAGCTGGCTGCTGATTCGCCGAGCGGCCCCCCGCCGCGGCTGCGAGGAGACGGAGACTTCGCTGGACTCTGCGTCTTCTCGGTTGTCGTAGAGATCTCCTGCGAGCAGAGGGGGAGGAAGTACTCAGACCCTTCACTTAAAGAGGCCCTGTTCTGTTGTTTTAGGGTTCTACCTATCCTGTTGTGTGATATATAGGTTTTAGTGCAAGTAAATGGTCTGTAAAGGCTCAAATCCCTGAGTTTCTCTCCCACGTACGTACAAAGATACATTAACTAAAAGGTTTAAAGGGCAATCTATTATCCTAAATTACATGATGTGTGTAAGATGTAATATGTAAAAAACACTCTTTAATTAAGTCCAACAGACTCCAGCTCTGACCTGTGGAAAGATGCCAGGGCACCACACCAACTGTAGAGTTGTGGTCGTCATGGAGATGGTCGTTTGAGTGATGGAATGGTGACAAATAACCGGTTGGCTCCTGGTTGTCATGGAAATGGCTGTCGGCATGTTGCGACTCCAATTTTTGCCCCTGGGCTTCGTGGAGTACTTCTTCGATTTTAGACCCGCCCCTAACCGCACCTGCTGACACAGCAGATTTAAAACAAAACCAATGTTAAACATGTCCTCTGCTTATAACCCATCCTAGTACCAGGAGCAGTGGACAGCTATTGTACAACGCCCGGGGAGCGGGGGGGGAAGGGGGGTGTTCGGTGCCTTGCACAAGGGCACCACGGCAGGGCAGGAGGTGCACTGGGACCTCTCCAAGTAGCTCTGCAATCTAGTCAATGGAAGCTTTTACATATGGTATCCATAAACATATATATTTTAGGAACAGACTTACACATTTCAGTAAATATAAAAGAAACACACAGAAATGTAGCATTGGAAACATTTGAAATGCTTGGATTCAACAGCTGGGTAATGTTGTTTTGAATCAATGGGGTTTTTTGGACAACAATGGAACTCTATTGGCACAGAGGAAGACTATGTATCAGGCTTTCATAATAAGACGTGGATGCAGTGACCATGACCTTCCATTGGTTTGTGAACTATCATTTAAAAAGCCCAAACCTCATCATATCTGCTGGCTATTAAAAAGTGTGAAGATTTAAAGCACTGGCTCACTTTTCAAACAACACACACACACACACACACACACACACACACACACACCACACACACACACACACACACACACACACACACACACACACACACACACACACACACCACACACACACCACACACACACACACACACACACACACACACACACACACCACACACACACACCACCCACCACCACACACACCACACACACCCACACACACACACACACCCACACACACACACACACCACACACACACACACACACACACACACACACACACCACACACACACACACCACACACACACACACACACACACACACACACACACACACACACACACACACACCACACACACACACACACATCACACACACACACACACACACACACACAGGTGATGTAAATAAGGGGAAATACAGATAACCACTAGACTTCACCTTTTAATCTTTACACAGAGTTCAGTTGTACCTGCATGTGCAATATACCTAGTGCAATTCAGACTTTATTGTCTTTCAATTAATTTACAATCTGTAAACAGCACCAGCTACCTCTTTAATTTGTATATGGTCAAAGAATACACTGCTACTTGTTAACTTATCTGCCATTTGTTTGTATTATTAATAACGTGTGCACACTTGTATATGCAAGTCTATTCTCTTAGCTTTATCCGCACTATACTTCTGCTGTTGTAATAATGTGGGACAAATAAAGTAATCCTGATTCTGACCTGGTTTTGCCTGTGGCTCTTCACAGCTGCTGTTCCACCCGGACCCTCTGGAGGAGCCCGACAGCGGCCAGTTGTTGCTGGAGCACTCTGGGTCATAGGAGGTGGAGAAGATGCTGCTGTGGCTGGAGGAGAGCCTCTGACCTCCGCTCTGATCGGGCCCCAGGAGGACAGCTGTAGGATAAGCGTATTTGGGTCCATCACGGCGAGGCACCACCCCTGTATCTCTGTCAGAGGATGGGGTGAAGCGCTCCGCCTCTAAAGGGAGGCTCCGTCTGGTGGAGGACCCTTCCCCTGGAACAGACCCAGGTTTTGGCCCCTGTCTTCTCGGCCTTTCCTCCTCCACATCCTGGACGTAAATCTTCGGGAGCTTCCTTTCCGATGCATAAGAGGAGGAGGATATAGAAGGAGAGGTCTGTGGATCTATGACGCAGGGCGAGGAGGCGGAGAGGGCCTTCCCCAGGTCTCCGAGAGGATAGTTGGGGGGCCACGCTCCTCCTGCTGAACCCCGCCTCATCTGGACCTCCTCCTCCTCCTCCTCCTCATCATCATCATAAGAGATGGCAGATTTGTAGCTCTGCCTGTGTCTGGCAAGGCGTGGGGCACTCAGCAGAGGGGTCTGATGAAGAGGAGGGGTCTGATGAAGAGGAGGGGTCTGATGAGAAGAAGCGGTCTGATGAAGAAGAGGCACTTGACGAAGAGGAGGCACTTGACGAAGAGGAGGGGTCTGATGAGAAGAAGCGGTCTGATGAAGAAGAGGCACTTGACGAAGAGGAGACACTTGACGAAGAGGAGGCTCCTGACGAAGAGGAGGGGTCTGATGAGAAGAAGGGGTCTGATGAAGAGGAGGCACTTGACGAAAAGGTGGATCCCGAGGAAGAGGAGGCTCCTTAGGAAGAGGAGGGGTCTGATGAAGAGGCACCTGATGAAGAGGAGGCTCCTGATGAAGAGGAGGGGTCTGATGAAGAGGAGGGGTCTGATGAAAAAGAGGCTCCTGGCGAAGAGGAGGCTTCTGATGAAGAGGAAGGGTCTGATGAAGAGGCACCTGATGAAGAGGAGGCTCCTGACGAAAAGGAGGGGTCTGATGAAGAGGCACCTGATGAAGAGGAGGGGTCTGATGAAGAGGAGGAGTCTGATGAAGAGGCACCTGATGAAGAGGAGGCTCCTGACGAAGAGGAGACACTTGACGAAGAGGAGGGGTCTGATGAAGAGGAGGGGTCTCATGTCTGACCACAGGTGTGGTCTTCACTTCTCTTTTCTCTGGGATCTGATTGGCTGCTGCTGTTCTACCACACACTTCAGGTGTGCTGCTCACCTGTTGCTGCTTCATGTTAAGATGTGTCTGCACGGTGTTGAAGGGCATGATCCCGGCCGCAGGTAGGCTCGTTTTCTCAGCGGTGACTCCCGGCGGGGCGGGTGTTGTCCCCTCCCTTAGCTGTGGTTTCTGCCGAGGCGTCTCTGCGTTTTCCGGGCAGGTATCGGTTCCTTTCGCGGCGGGAAGTCGCTCCGAAGAGCCCCCTCCGCCGTCACCGGGAACATGTCCCTTGAATTTCTTCCTGAGGACCACATGAGAGACCCCCTCCACCTGTCGGACGGTGGCCACGGAGTTCACGAACTTCTTGAAGAGCTCCCGGTTTCGGTTCCGGTCCGGGTGGTCCCTAATGAAGTCTTTGAAGTGCAGAACCAGGTCCGCGTTTTTCACCGAGCCTCCGCTGATCTGGAGGAAATGCAGCAGGGTGTCCTGAGTGAAGTCTGTGGCCATTCTGCTCCCAAACCCCGCTGTATGCTGCCTCTGCCGCGGGCTCAAAGGTCGCGGAGCTGCTTCTGAGAGGAAGGGAGCTCCGCCTGCTGCAGGTATTTATCCAGCCCACCTGCTGCATTCCTGCAGGGAACTAACAACCCGGATGTGCACAAGTACCAGTGGTGCAATGTAACTAAGTACATAACTCAAGTACTGTACTTTGGTTAACCAGGTGCAAACAAGCCACATGTGGGAAAAAGAGTAGTTTGTTTGGGACACTTTTTTTTTGCGATCTCAAATTGTATTCACCTGCAAGTGCGATTGAGAAAACACGTCATTAAAAACTCTCTGGGAATCGCTCTCACTGGCTACACCCATAAGTAAATACATTTCCAAACTTTGTTGATTGATTGACATCTGACATTTATAGTGAAAGCACTCTCTGGAGTTTCTAAACAGCCATTGGATAAAAGCCACGTTTTAGAAGGGCGACTGTCAATCAAATGTCCATAAAGCAGGACATCGGGTCCCCCTAACTGTAGGCTACTTAAGTACCATTTGTAAAAAAGTATATTTTGATGATTATACTTTTGTACTTTTACTTGAGTACAATTTTGAATGCAGGACTTTTACTTGTAACAGAGTATTCCTACATTCTGGTACTTCTACTTTTACTCAAGTACAAGATCTGAGTACTTCTACTTTTACTCAAGTACAAGATCTGAGTACTTCTACTCTTACTAAAGTACAATATCTGAGTACTTCTCCTTTTGAATAGTTATATCTTTTCATATTTCTTACAACCTAATTCCTCTAATTGTGTTTTACCATTATATGCAAAAGCAAATTCCTTGTATGTGTAAATCTACAATAAACCTGATTCTGAATATTTATTTTGAACATGTTTTATAAGCAGAATAAATAAACTATTATAATGTTTTTGGTGTATTGTTAAATAATGTTAGCAGGTTAAATATATCCCAATCTTTCATTACATAGTATTCCTGTGCAGATCCACTCCATCATTTGAAACATACGTAAAAATGCACATATTAGTCTTTGAAGTGCACATTTTTTCAAAGTCGAATACTCCCCACTACTCATTGACATTATTTTCTGCCATGAAAAATGTGCAGGTATAAAAGGCTGCAGATGCTCAGCAACACAAGCAGAAGAGATGTCCTTCACACTGTCCTCATTATCCATTCTTCTCTATACACACCGTGGCCACCAGAGGGCGCACTGGAGCAGACCTGAGCCAGCACTGGGAATATAAAGATGATTTGACCTATAGTTCATATCCTCAAAACTAAAAGAGGTCCTACTTAAGGCCAAATCTCATGTTATTCTCCAAATAGGATAAATAAAACTTAAACCAAATGACATGCAATAAAGCACAACAAAGACAATATTATCTCTTTCTTATTCATAGTGTTTTATCGATGATTAGGGAGTTTAATGTTGGATAACAATATATTCAACTATAGACGATCTGAATTATTTAAATGTATTTGATGCTTGGAAAAAACATTTATAGGACAAAAAGTTACAACCTAAACAAATATGGCTTGTGTATTTGGCTCCAATATAAACTGCTGTTTGATGCATATTCTCACGAAGTGGTGGAGAATAGCACAGGGTCCCTTTCTCTCTTAAGATAGATAAGGCTTTAAGAAGAATTATAGCCGAGTTAAAAAAAAGAGTGTAATCTATCGGTTCTTGAATGCACCACTAAGCCAATTTACTTAATTGCTTGTTAAAGGGATATTCTCCCTAGAGGCTAACTACAAATACTTTCCACGAAATTATTCTCAAGATCAGTTGCAGCCATGTTGCACAATATTTTGTATTCATGTGATACTGAGAATAAAAATGTTATAAAAGCACACGTGTCAGAGTGTGGTTTGAAATGTAAAATAAAATGAAACCATTTCTTTGTCTTTCTTCCTTTTATTTTCTTTCTTCCCCCCCTCATTTTAATGTACCAGTGTTATGTTTTTAGGTTGCAGTTTCTGTAGATCCAAGGAAGGCTAACATCATTTTCTTCCATATGATCTCACTGATATAATCAGCCTAGAGTAGGAACAGCTATCTAGCCTGTATCCAGATGATGAAAAGAGAGGAGAAATGTTATTCAATATTCAAATGTAGATAGTGTGTCTGTGTGTCAATATTTAATATTCCCTTTCATGTCCATGTCAATCTGTGTTTCTTGTCAAATTTTGAGAACGTACCACGATGTACGAGCCTGCAGAAAGCTCCTGAACGCGTCATAGATGCACCTGCGTCTGAAGGACGCTAGCTTAGAGTCTCGCTCTGATTGGCTGGTTGATTTTAGAGGCGGGATCTCTCTACGGATTCCAGTGGATGATTAGTCCATACACCTGGCTGTCAAGATAAGTGCGCCTACCTGTCACTTCCTGCTGTCGGTATTTATTCATTTTCACTTCTTTTTTTCCCGAGTAGAGACAATTTGTCACAGCCATATTTGTATGAATTCGTCTAATGTATCCCGCACGGTTTGTGGACCCTGCGAACCAAACGTTACGACCTTGGCTTCATGTTCGTCTTAAAGGACTAACCCCCTGGACACTGCTGGGAAAACACCGCCTGGGTGCATTCAACCGCCGCGGCTCAATTCCTTTTAATGTGGACTCATATTGCCGTGTTTATTAATAAAGCAGCAGCAGCAGCAGCAGCAGCGAGGGACTGTGCCTGGTGGAAAGGTAAGCACCGCAGAGGCGTTAGCATGCTCTCAGTGTTTCTATGCAGCACTGATACACACTCACACACTCTCACACACAAACTCACACACACACACACACACACACACACACACACACACACACACACACACACACACACACACACACACACACACACACACACAGCAGCAGGCCTGGCGGGGGATGCATGTGGGCTTTAAACGCAGTATCACACATTATTCGGTCAGATACACATGATTCAGGGACGTGTGTGTGTACATGTTTGTGTTCTGTTCAGGGCCGGATCAAGCTTTTATTGGGCCCTCCCACCCCAGCCCTCAATTACCCCCCGTAGTGTATAAACTAAAAAGTCATATAACTCTACGACTAATACTGTGTCTGTACTGCTATTGGTCCTCAATCACAAGAGACAAGGACATGGAAAAACACAGCAAGAGAAACCATCAGTATTTGTAATGTCTCTGTCACAATACATCCATTCTCTCTTACAAGCAAGACACCATGATAGCAATACATATTAGTTTATGACCATACTATAAAAAACAGTAGTCCCTTATAGCATGTTGTACACAAGACAATCGTTTTAGTTCATGTTTTTCCTGTTCATTTTAACATCTAGTATCTTTTGTTTTTATTTAAACCCACCATGAAAAGCAAGTGTGAGGAAAATGGAGCGAAGATTTATGTGTATGACCAAAGGTAGATCTGTGAGGTGGAGCTGGAACATGAACTTCCATAGTGGAGTCTGAACACACTCGGGGGTGTTTTCACCTATTCAGCTTGATTCTGTACAGACTGGGTTTGATTGACATCTAATTATCCTCCTGTTGGGGTGGGACAAAGACAAACCACTCCTTTATTATTCCTCAGGGGTCAATGTACTACGTGTGCAGTCTCTTTTGCAGCTGTGTGCACTGCGAACAATACTAAATGTTCACGGACTGTAGTCACCTGCTTTCATCATGGTGGATCTTACCACTGCTTCCCAAATTGCTGTTGCGGACAAATCTGCAGCAAAATCTACAACTTTATCAATCAATCAATCAATATTTATTTATATAGCCCAATATCACAAATGTTACATTTGTCTCAGTGGACTTCACAGTTTCTACAGACCAACTTTATGACCAAGGTTGCAACATACATTTAAAAAAGGAAAGTGAAACGAAATTGTTGTGACGGTGATAATGGATCCGTACCCTCTACATGATTCCCTATAAGAAAATGTTGAATTATACCAATTGTAAAATATATTAATGATACATTTGATTTGTAGAGCACTTTTCAGGGTACTCAAAGACAGTTTACATGCTAAAATTCTTATAATACACACTCAAAATATACAAAACACGGTCTAAATATGCATGACTTAAAAATGCCTGACTTGTTAGTCCTGCATACTGTATCTACTAATGTGCATGTCACCATTCATACATGTTCACTTGCTTTAGAAACACCACACAACTCAGTAAACACCTTAACATTTTTGACCTTTTTATATTATTTTAAAACGGCAGCTAGTATAATATAATAAAGTAATATACTATAGTGTAAAGATCAGTGTTCGCCTATGGGTTTCACATTGTGTTTAAAGTTCAAAACATGTATGCAAGATATGGCTTAATATGGGAAATGCTTAATTAGCAACGATAGCCGCCTTAGGGATTTGAGTTTGAAGATCATGTTGATTGGTTATAATGGTGAACGGCCGAATGGTGCGTCACTTCTGATATATCCGCAATAATAAGATTATATATTCTGACGTGTACCAACTCCAAACTGCTCCTCTAGCACTGTATCAAAGCGGTGCCTAATATCAGGATGCGGTGAATGCAGAGTCTACATTTCAATGTGTGTGCTGTGAACGTGTGTGCATCGATTTGAAACATCCATTTTTAACCTCCCATAAACCAAGGCAACACAAGCTGTCAATGTCTTTATGACAACATGATGTTAAAGAAACCATTTAGCTACATGTGTTAGCATTACATTAAACTATGGGTCGACCATTATAAATCTGTCATGACTTTTTTCCTTGACTAAAAGTACAGTAGTACCATTTGGACTTATAGTAAATATGTTATTATGTTACTACACTGTCAAAGGATGTAATACTTGTGAAAGTAACTGCTGGTTAGCTGCCAATACGCTGACTAGAAGCCAACCTGAGAATAAAACCCCCTCGGTGCAGCAGGTACTTCCCTTTAGGTGCTTCCCTGTTACTCCTTCGATCTCAGAAGCTGACTTCCAGCACCTCAGGCAGAGGGACAGAATATACATGTCGCGCTATTGTCACGGTCGCTGCTAACTACAGTAAGCAACAGTAGTTAGCATTTACTGAATCAACTTATTAAGCACAATGGAGCGTGAGATGGGCCGGAGAATTGGAGCAGCGGGAGCGGTACTGCAGTCGCTTTACCGCACCGTTGTGACGAAAAGGGAGCTGAGCCAGAAGGCAAAGCTCTCTGTCTATCGGGCCATTTTCGTTCCTACCCTCACCTATGGTCATGAAGGATGGGTCATGACCGAAAGAACGAGATCGAGGATACAAGCGGCCGAGATG